CTTTTTGGCCGCCCCCCCCCCCCCGGGTTTATTCTCAGAAGCTCTTCATGTACTTTTTTTAGTGCCACATATGATCCTTCCTTAGTGTTACATGGTGAGGGTTCACATTTGTGTTGTGTTACAGGATGCTCTCACGAGAGTTTCCGGAGTTAGAAGACGTGCTGGCCCTGTTATCGTTGGAGACAGGCTTCCTGTTCCAGGTTAGAGAATCAATTAAGGTCTGATTCAGTTTCTCCATCCAGTCAGACCTCTCTTCTCGTGTGTCTGCTGAAAACCAGCACCTGCACAACAAAAGATCATTTACATACAAATTAAAACCAATACTCTATTGTAAACTGATACTAAATGTTAAAGTCATATAACGAAAAAGAATTAACAGATCTTTTCTTCCATAATGTGACGTACATTTGAGTGAAACGGATTACTTAGGAAAAAAAAAATGCATGGATGAATTGTTCAAAATAAGATCTATAACATGCATTTAGAAAACGGTCTGAATTTTCATTTCATGTCAGGTTTAAAGGAATATTTCAGATAAGCCCCTTTTTTAGATGGAGGATCTTCTGGTTTTACGTGTTTGTCTTTTTCGTCTCCCTTGTGATCCATGAAAAATGACACAGCATATAGGTGTGGAACAACATTAGGGCGATGACAGAAGTTTCATTTTTGGCTGAACTATTTATTTTAGTAAATTCATGAATGCATTACTTCTTCAAGGTTTGGCTGTGTTCTTGCTGGAGGGTGTTTGTCTCTACTAATTCAAAGGTGTGTGGCCGTGCACAGCACTCTCGCTCCACAGGCCTGACACTGCAGAAGCCAAAGAGAGAGAGACTGCCATCTGCTGGCTGGAAGAGAAGGAGATAGATAAAAAAAAAAAAACATCAATGAGGAGAAGGATACACATTTTTTACACACATAATTGCACAAATCCCACCTTGTTGCCCATCTCATTCGGGTAGTTCCAGTAGAGAAGGTGTCCTCCTTCCAGAAGGAAGTAGAACCTCTGCCAAGCTCCAAAGCCACTCACATCCTCAAACATAGTCTATAAGAGGAGAAAGAAAATTACAGCACAAATTTCCCAAAAACAAAGCACATTTCCTACAGACACATGTCACAAAGCACATAAAATTACAAAAGAATACATTAAAAACAAACTGAGATCATAGATTAAATAAATCATTTAAATCACAAAATGAAGTACTAATGTAACCGGAGAGAACCTGTTGCAGCTCTATTTCAGCACATAAAATATTCTTGTGTCCTAAGCCATTCTCAAACAACTTCCATTCAAATGGATCAGACTGCGACTAGGAAGATAAACTGCTAACATATTTCACATATTTGCTTTGCAAATATGAACTGGCAACTGTAATTCTACATTTTTTGCTTATATACAAATTAATCAAGGGACTACAGATATGGTAAGTGCCTTTTCCATATGATAAAACAAGCTAAACAAAGCACCAGTCAAGTTCTGGGAAACATATACACCAACTCACCAAAAAGCCCTGATGCTGGACGTTGGAGTGGCCCTCGCTGTGCAGCCGCAGATAGATGTGGCCCTCTAGAGGAGAGAGAAAGGGAACCTACACAATGTAACAAACGGGTTAGTCATGACAACAGATGTGCATGTCAAAATGCAGAAATATTTAGGCCTGTCACAATAACAATTTTTTGTTGTGCGATATATTGCCTCAGAAATAATTGCGATAAGCGATATTATTGTCATTTCAAAGACCATTTTATGCCACTGAATATCAATATAATCATAATGTAACAGCATAATAATGCAACCAGGCCAACACTTCCAAATGACAACAAACTTTTGATTCTTAACAATATTTAGATCATGGAAATTAAGTATCAAAATATTAGATACCTTAAAAACTTGAAGAAATAGTAAATAAACATTTTCTAACAAAAAGTGCAAAGTAACAAGTAGAAAAAAGAAAATGCACAAATAACTTGTATGGAGATCTTTCCCGGACCTTCTTTTCTCTGTAAATTAAGGGTGCACTGTATTGCTGAAAAACATAATCACTACTCAGCAGTCAGATGTCCGTATACACAAAAGGCACAGATCCCTAAACAAGGCCATATCGGCAGATGAAATTTTTTTGCGGAAGCATTTTTTAAATTTGAACTAGCACCTCATGACTACACCACGCTATGTACGAGAAGCTGCAAAAGACACGGGTGCAAGTGGAATGTACAAAACATGGTGACATTAATTTTTAAGTAAATATAATGGGCGATATATTACGTCACCAAAAATTATTGAGGTTATGTACATATATTGCGCGATAAGTCGATATATTGATTATTGCGACAGGCCTAGAAATATTATTAAAATTTTTAGTAATGACTTACATATTACAGCTTTTAGACAAATTTCTGAAAATTTCAATTTCTGAATGGTTCGAATTTACTTCTCAATTAATTGTTAAAAACTATAACATTCAAAGAACATTCATTTGAACTAAACCTTTGATGAAAAGAAAGTTCAAACAAACAGCATTTATTTGACAATCTTTTGCAATATTATAAATGTCTTTACAATCACTTTTGATCAATTAAATGCACCTTTACTAAATAAAGGTGAAGGCTTTACTGAAATTATAAATTATTAAAATACATTTAATTATTAATGCAAAATATAAAAAAATGTATATTACATTTTTAAGGTCTGAAAGACAACTGTAAAATTCCATAATATCTCCGTAAAAAAAATACAGTACATTAAGAGATTAAAAGAGGGTAATTGTGGGGATATTGGGTTTGATTTGTCCCAAAACAAGTGATGAATGCACAGGCCAGAGTATTCATTAAAAGCAAAAAGATCAACAAAATGCCCAGTATTGTACCTTGTCACACACACAAACACACAGACACAGAAAATGTGCAAAGCCCACTAAATCATAAGCAAAGAATAAGATGGAAAGAGTGACACCTTTTCCTGAAACTCATCTCCAAGGAGTCGCCTGATTTTGCCTTCAAATTTCATCTGAGTGGAGAGAAACGGACATAGACCCAGTTACAGTTCCACAACTCCCACCACAGTGCAAACACAACACAGAACAACCACAGATCTCCTGGTTAACCGCTGTGAAAATTAAGAGTGAAAGTGTGTACACAATTTATTGTCTTTAAAAAGAAGATACAGTAAGTGCTCATAAAGGGGAGGACAACAACACACAAACAATTAATCTCCTTTTTCTCTCTAATGTGAACAGTTTTACTGTATCAATACCTTGTCCAGAGGAAACTTGCTCTGTCCCAATGAATTCAAGGTAATCTTGTGAGAGCCTACTAATGTGAAGTTACTAGAGCGTTGGGCACTCAGACCAGGCAGAGTAGCAGCTATAATGGACGGTAAAGAAACATCAGTATCTGATACTACCAATCAACCAATGATTAAGTGAGTAACTGATAAATACTTACATGTTACACTCTGGTTAGATTTCTAGAAAAACAAAAATAGACATTTGGATGAGCTGAAGCTGTCTATCATTCAACAAATTTAAACACACAATGTGCCTCATTCATGATTTTCTGAATTGTTTGTGAAAGTATTCTTATGTGTCATGTGACAATTCAAAAAGTGTGATTTTATGAAAATTATAACAGAAAATACACATATTTGTATAGCTCATGTTTAATAAATGAAGCCCAATGTTGGTAAGGAAACAGAGAAGATACATACTGTGATGCTGTGGAGAATCTTCTTGGGTGTCACCTAGAAACACAAACATTTTGCTACAACTGTGCATTGCTAAAAGTAATAAAACACTCTGCTTTCTCAACATATGTGAAGGTGTACAAACCTTTGACTTTGTTGAGCTGCGGAACTGCTGAATATTCATGCTGCAGGTAGTACTCTGAGTACTGGACTATAAAACAGAGGAATACACAATAACACCTAATTATGACCTAGAAAATATAAGCTAAAGCTTGAGGGAAAAAATTATTTTAGCTTTTAAACTATTAAAAATGATATTTGGTTGTACACAAACTCTACCTACCAAACTGTAGACCTCAACATCAATCTCAAAATTGGAGCGAATGTCTTGTCTGTGGAAGCAAAACATTCAAACCAGTGTATATCACTACTGTGTTTATTTAAAAACCTTCTCTTAAAAGCACTGCACAGTTTTAAAGGTGCCATAGAATGCATTGATACAATATTTTAAATTGTTCTCTGATATCTACATAGAAGGTGTGTGGCTTAGGTAAGGGCAAAAAATCTCCAGAAACGGTTTTACATGTCCATTTACAACCCTAGGATTTTTGTCCCTAGAATGAAATGGTCTTTTTTTACCTTATTTGGAAGGGTCATGAATAATAATGTTAAAGCTCTGCTCTGATTGGTTGTTTCACAGTGCGGCTCAATGTTGAGCTCTGCTCTGATTGGCTGTTTCACAGTGCAGCTCATTTCAGTAGCTCACACAGCAGGAAGGAAACTTTCGAGATTTGCGATCGCACGTGCTCTGTGTTAACAACAGCAGCAGTACTTACCACACATTTTACAAGATCAGATGCTTGTCAGTGGTACTCAGGATATGTAAATCATTCGCCATCATCCTCAGTCATCTCTCCTTACTCTGTTTATGTGGTAAGTGAAATCTTATGTACTGTAATGTAACAGGCTACCGCTAGCAAGCAGCTAACCATGTCCCTTTATTGACTCACATTATTTTATTAGAATGCGTGTTATTTGTTTTTTGTGCTTTTCTGAATACAGACACCAACCCATCCCTGCACAGCCTGGAACATAACATTTATTTCCATGATCTGCCATTTTCACTATTATCCTCGCTTGTTTCTTCACAATACCTGCAGAACTTCTGATGATTCGGCTGTGCAGGTTCGGCTGGCGGCTGGCATATAACATGGGCGGGTATTTGCAAATGTTGGGGGCGTAACTATTAGTGATCCCGACTGTAACGTCACAGTTGGTGTTATGTTCTGATTCGCCTATTTTTCAGTGGTCTTTTGCATGCACGAGATTTACATAAGGAGGAAACAATAGTGTTTGAGGCTCACAGTATGTCATTTCTATGTACAGAACTGTTATTATTCAACTACGCCAAGGTAAATACAGTTTTCCATTCTATGGCACCTTTAAACTCTGACATCCGTTCAAAGAAGCATTGTATGTAGCGTGTGGACTCACAGTGTAATAGACGTTGGGAACGTGATGGTGTCTCCATTTTGGGCATCAGCAGCTGTAGCCAAAGGCGTTGCCACAATATTACATGGGCCATAACGGATCAAAACGAAGAAGTAGTGTGTTGGGCGGCCTTTATAGAGACAGCAGCCATAACAAATTGTGTTAGAACATTGACCTTGTGCAATGAAGAGTCATCATCTGCCATTAATAAATATGTAGTAACGCTTACCTGTGCGAGCAGAGCACACAAACTCTACTTTGAGGGGCAGCTGGATGCTGCTGATGCCGACTGTGCCTCTGCAGGGCTGCAGAGGTGCATTCTGGGAGTCTGGCTCACCAGACTCACCCTCTCTCAGCCTGCTGACGTCAGCCAGTAAGGCTGCTCGCTTCTCACCTGCATTAAACAGATGTATAAAAGCCAAATCAGAGCATGCAGTCTCTGTGATTTGCAGGAGGTTCAAATAGAGTAATGTACATTGCTCGCTAATGTTCCACTTACTGGAGACAAGCAGGAGTTTCTCAGCTTCGGCCTCCTGCTGGGAACCTTTCCCATGTTCCTCATCACAGCAGCAGCTCAGAGCCTGCAATGTCTGCGTGATGATTGTCTGCAACTTGGCTGCCTCCTCGTTTAAAACCTTAATGGAACAAATAAAATAACTTGCATCAGATCTTGCATGCATGAAGTCTCCTAAAATACCCCGGTAAGTCTCTCAGTATAAGTTTCAAACCTTAATTCTCTCCTTGATGTTTATGGGCTTTTTTGAGCAGGTCTTCTCTTGAACCTGCTTCTGAACTCCAGGGGTCAAGCTCTGAGTAGAGGGGGGATGGATCTTCCTCTGTGAGCGGTAGGCGTCAATGCTGTCAATTGTATGAAAAAACAATTGGGTAAAAAGTTAAATATCAGTGGTTGACCAATATATAGACAGCTGAGTGGCTCTTGATCGATATAAAACTGATATGCATAAATATATATATATATTTATTTTCAAATAAGGATGTATTAAATTGTTCAAAAAAAGACATTTATAAAGTTACAAAATAATTTTTTTATTTGAAAAAAATGCTGTTATTTTGTACTTTCTATTCATCAATTCAAACATCAATTCAACTTAAATTGCAATAATATTTCACAATCACAATATTACTGTATTTCTGATTAAATAAACGGCTGATTTGCCAGTCAATCACTAGTAAAAAGAAAAAAGCATAATACCAAAAATAAATAAATAAATACCAAGTTGGACAAACAGCGACACAGAATGACAGGGCTCTTGACAAATTATTATTGTGATTATTTAAGGGAGCACACCTGTATAAAGGTTGACCGCAGTCAGCAGGACTAGCTGTCATTTCTTCAGGTGAGGGCAGCTGTACTGATGGCTCAGACACAATGATTTCAATGTTCTGTAGAAACATTTAGAAACAGACATTTATGGTCTTTTAACTAACTAATACATTTATATCTATGTAATCGATTACACTCTTACACTGTAACTGAAAGGTACATGTATCTGTACATGCGAACTTTCCATTTACACAAGGGAAAACTCAGATGACACTGCCTAGCATTTAACTTCATATGAAAAGTGGCATAATTATGCTAAAATGCATTTTGATAAAAACATATTTGACAAGCACTTGAATTTCTTTGGTGACATAATATTTAACCATATACACTGAACATACTCTAGTCCTAAAGAAATTTCTCTCATTCACTGGCTGTCACCAAAAATCAGACCAATACCAGTGGTGTGACAACAGCCTCCACAGATTTGCTGAGAGGAGAGAGGATACAGCTGGGTGGCAGGGTTAGAAAGTCCTCATCAACCATGGGGGTGCTCTCCTGCTTTTCTTCCATCTCTCCTTCACCATCATCAACAGACTGGAGCTCCTTCTCTTTCTCTGTTGCAGAACTGGCATCAGGAGTTTCTTCACTCTCTTCACACATCTCACTCTGGTCAAGAGGATACTCATTTAATGTGACTGTGACTGGTTCCTGTTTGTCTTCCTTTTCAACTGTGTCCGATTCCGTTTTGTCTTCCTTTTCAGTCTCAGATGAATTGCTCTCATCTTTCTCCACCCCCTCTTCCTTATTTCCATCTTCACCTTCCTTGTCTGCATGTTGCAGGACGTCTTCAAACATCTTGTAAATTAGAGTGGAAGTGCTCAAAGCCCCAGGTTCTGTTACAGAAACAAATGTGGTAAATATGGTAGCCAAGTAAGATCCAAGAGATTTTAGGAAAAACATTTACCTATAGATGTATAAAGTTCTTCACTGGGGAAACAGATGTCCACAGAACATGGCGGTGTGGTGTTCAGACTTTCATCAAATACCTTACTGTCAACCTCACAGGAGCTGAATTCAGATCCCTTTAACTCTTCCTGCAGAACACATAAAAGCTGAAATTAGGTTTTGCCCTATATACACAAATAAAACAGTGCGAAAGACAAAAAAAACTGTTCTCCCCAAGTGAGTCTGTGAGTGATTACTTTGCCCTAGTGACCATAAGCAAATTATGGATAAACCTCAAAACCAAGAGTGAAGAAGCAGGGCTCCAGACTAACATTTGAGAGCAGTGGCACCAGCCAGGAGCAGACTTGGTAGCGCTGGGGGTGGTGTGTGGGAGTATTAAATTATAGATCATTTAATCATAAAATGATTATTGTTTTTCATTAATAAGCGCAGTTACTAATAATATTACATGTTAATTTCTTGTTTATTTATACAGTTGACAGTAAAGCACTAAGCTTGAGTTAAGATGCATACAAAATGTACTTTTATTAACAACAGTAACAGGTGCAAAATCAATTTGTTTTTTATATAGAACATTTATATATTCCACTCTTATTAAATGTACCATTATTCTTCTAGTATATGGAACTGACCAACTTCAGTGATTATGTGTGATTTAGTAGCAAATTGAAGAAAAGTTTGTTTTTCAAGGCACTTTGTGACTTTTATTACTTCATACACAAAACAATTTTTAAAATATCTGACAAAATCTGATATCTTGATGATTTGATATTTTATAATAGTGATTTTATAATTTCAAAATATAGAGAAAAAGTAGAAATGAATGACTAATAAGTCAATAAGTGCTCCTCTACTGCTGTCTACTGGTTATAATTGTGATTTGATGTATTTTTTTAATTTTACATAAGTCTTTGTTTACCACAAAGTATATTTTGGTCATCCCATTAAAAATAACATTCAAACTGGATCATTTTAGAGCTTTAAAGTGCTGGAATTAGTTGTGTGAAATGCTCGAAAGTCATTGAAAAATGCTTGAAATTCTCTCTCAAAAGGTTGTACAAATCCTGAAATGAATGATGTAATGCATTCGACTATTTCTACCACAACACCATGGTTACAGTTAGCGTTACCGCTCCTGGTTTTCTGATGTACGTCAGCGCTGTTTATAACAGAGAATTCTGTGCAGAATTTGAATGATTCTCACTAGATTTCACAGCAACCTTATCATTGTGTGGCGAATTCAAACGCTTCTCACTGGATCTCGCAGCACTGTTGCATCTGTGCAGTAACAGTGTCACGAAATCAACTTTGGCTCCCGAGTAAAGCTGTGCTGAGCTCGTACAAGTTTGTTTGCGTAGCGGTCCGAGCAGCGCAGCTGAAACGTAGCACGGTTTAGTTTTGCTTTCATTTAATTTGCTGTTTCTCAAATGCAACAGAAATGGCAGCGCTTATGAGTTGGACAACGCAGTGGTCGCGCCAGTGCGACCTCTCACAAAAATTAGTCGCACTGGCACAGAAAATGGTCGCAGTCTGGAGCCCTAAGAAGAATGACGAAACAGACAAATGAAAAAAAAAGAAAAGAAAAGTCAAATACACTTCAACAAATTGTCTCAAATACATGCTCACACTCCCAGGCTGTAATGGAGGCCACTGGGGTTTTCGATTTTGCCTGTAAACCCAGGGAGAGGATGTGGATGGAGATGACCTCTGGGAAAACGGGGATTATTTACTTTTGATCTAAACGCTCAAAATCCAGACAAGAATCCACAGTAAACAGACAAACATCTTAACCTGACTGGCTCACCTCAATGAGGGAAGAGTCAGACAGACTCCTCTTCAACCACAGGTTTTCTGCCACTGGCTGAACCTTCAATTGACGCAACTCATCCTCACGTGCCTGTATTTGAAGACAGTTGGACTTAGTAACAATAGTACAGTTGGACTTAGTAACCTTCTCTTAGAGATTTGTTTCAGAAACAGTCAGAAAAAAGGTGAAATGGGTGGGACAGATCTACCTGGCGGATACGGGAGGCCTCTTTACTGCTGGGTGTCACTGCAGTGTTCAGCTGCTGTTGCATGCCATGCACAAAGCTGGAGAGATTGCGTGTGCAGGGGGTGGAGCGACCGGGGCTGTTCAGTAGCGTCGGAGCTTTGAAGCACTGCAGGCGAGAGCTAAACTCTCCCTCACCTTTCATAAAAATGCACATTCAGCTCGCCACAGTTAAAGACTTAATAAAGAATGCAGTAAAAGAAGCTGCAGCAGCCTATGTGGAAGAAAATACTCACCGATATGACAGATCTGCGAGGACATGCTGTCAGTGCAACCCTCGGACCCGGGGTCAGACAGGCAGCGCTGGACTAACCCAGTCCCACCTGACAACACAGAAAAAAGACAATTCATTACTAAACACTGGAAATATAATTACACTACATAAACATGCTTAAAAACATATCAACGGCACAATTCTCATAATACAGACAACACAATTATAAAGTGCAACAGGAAAGAGAATGAATGGTGGTTAATTCAAAAACATGGCCATTTAAAAAAAAAAAATTCAACAAGATTTTACATATTACGAAAAGTGCATTTAGTAGATGATTGTTTTTTTTTCTCACAAGTTTTAGTATTTTTTGCAGTTCCCTTAAATAGTAATGCACTGGGACAAATTACATTTTAGAAGTACAAATATTCCATGCAGCCTCCATGCAAAATACATAAAAATAATAAGAAAAACAATACAAAATTATACAAAAAACATTATATGTTATATTTATTAATATTTTTTTTTTTTTTTTTTTTTTTTTTTTTGGTGCCGTTCTAAAGTATCAACAAGATAATTTGCAATGGATTAAACATCTTTTAATAACCAGAGAGGCTGATTATAATGGGCATCATAAAAATGCAAAATAATGCACTGAAAATAGTGTTCCATTCCAAATTTCCAAAAAAAGGTCCTCAGTCTGTCACTAACATTAGAACAAAATAACCAGTAACAATACAGACAAACAACAACAACAGAAATGCAAAAAGCAAAGCAATATTTTCTATCAAGTAACATTGTGTGCCAGTTTCACTTCACAAATCTGCATATAAAATAGTACACACATAAACCATCACAAGCAAAATGATTCTGAAATGTACTGAAAAAAAAAAAAAGTTAACAAATAGTTTAAATATACTTGAATTGGCAGTGATTTACAAAAGGATAAATCTGAATTCTTACCATCTCGTCTCTGGCTGAGTTGCTGGACTCTGGAGCGGATGGAGGTTATAGCTGGAGTGTCTGGTTTCACCTCCAGCTCTGCCAATCGCAAGTGTGTTCTGGCAGGAGATTTCTTGGGGTCCAGGTTCTCCTCTCCCACTGCTGCCAGCCGCCTTTTCTTCAACACATTTTCAAGTTCTGTAAAACATTTTAGAACTTATAACTCACACTGATATCATTATACGGCCTAATGGTTAAACTAACAACGTCACATATAATCTTAAAACAGTGTATATAAAGAATAAAACTCAGGTCCAAAAGAACGTAGCTGACATATCTTAGACTATGCAACAATTGACAAATTAACATACTTCAAAATACTGTCTAAGTGGACACTAAATTCACTGGTTAGTGTGTCTGAAGAATAAAGGTGGTGACAGATGAGAACACAGTCTTACCACTAGAAGCTGAAGAGTTTTCCTCCAGTGGATCTCTCGGTCTCTTCTGATTTTCCATCTTATCACCTGTCAGCAGAAAACCAGCTTCAAGTTTAATGAAATTAAGTTTAGTAAAGACTTTAAAACAGTCATAAATCAGGTGTATGTGACGTATAGGTACTGATTTTAAATTGAAATTCATCATATACAGAAGTGTTACTAACTTTGCTTATACAATTTATATGGGTTCATTTCAAATGTTCATATCAACAACAATAAACTACGAACGATACGAGATGACTGGCTCATCTAAATGAATCAAAATATGTATTTTTCATATATCGAGACACTGAGGCTAAAGCGCTGCTAGCTAGCAATCACTGCTAAACAAAGACAAAATACGAAATGCAAAATGGTCGAAGTCGTAGAGAGTGAAAGGTAACGTTAATGGCAATCGTTTACATATAAAACGCAATTTTTGTCAGTTTTATTGTTAAAATATATATCTTTCTTACCTTAGTAAAATAACCGTGGCAGAGTTTGTGGAGTTTCCAAACGTCCACGTCTGTCAGCTGAGCTCGAGCGTTTGAATTTCCGCGGGCGCTCCGCGCATGCGCAGAGTTTCAGCACAGGTCAATCTATAGAGCCCTCCTGTGGACCGATGATTAATGGCTTTATCAAAACGTAGAGATGATTTACAGAAATTTGAACAATAATACTTACACTGCCGTTCAACATTTTGGGATCAGCAAGATTAGAAATATTTTTTGAAAGAAGTATCTTCCGCTCATCATGGTTACATTTATTTGATCAGAATTACAGAAAAAAAACAGTAATATTGTGAAATACTATTGCAATTTAAAATAATGGCTTTCTATTTTAATATACTTTAAAATATCATTTATTCCTGTGATCAAAGCTGAATTTTCATCAGCCGTTACTCCAGTCTTCAGTGTCTCATGATCCTTCAGAAATCATTCTACGCTGATTTATTATCAATATTGGAAACAGTTTTGCTGCTTAATATTTTTTTGGAACCTGTGATACTTTTTTCAGGATTCTTTGATGAATTAAAAAAAAAGTTAAAAAGAACAGTATTTATTCAAAATAGAAATCTTTTGTAACAATATACACTACCGTTCAAAAGTTTGGGGTCAGTATTTTATATTTTAAAGTATGTTAAAATAGAAAACCATAATTTTTAAATGGTAATAATATTTTACAATATTACTGTTTTTTCTGTATTTTGGGTCAAATACATGCAGTCATGATGAACAGAAGAGACAAATTAAAAAAATCTTACTGATCCCAAACTTTTGAACAGCAGTGTATGTAAGTATTATTACTGTTATTTCATTAGATGTTGTGTAACAGATACATTTAAGCAATCAACTTAAGCAAAATCATCATTCTCAAAAAAAGAGCAAAGAACAAATCATTTTCCACACATCTGACTACAACTGTGATACTGAATTTAGATCAGAAATTTATATTTTACTTACAAGAATCCTTTTGAGGTGTTTTTGCATAATTCTATTTAACAACCTTGTTTTTTCATAAGGCATAACATAACATTTCCATGTGACTACAATGTGACTTTAAGTGTCTGTGTTGCTTCTTTCTTTGTGCCATTCTGAAATATCAAGATCGTCAATATCGTTTGATTAAATGTCTTTTAATAACCAAAGAGGCAGACTATAATAGACATAATAAAAATACAAAATTCTGCAGTGAAAATATATGGTATATTTCCCAAATTTCCAAAAGAGGAGAGTTTCTGAAGTCTCTCACTCACATTAGACGAGAACAAATAGTAACAATAGACACAGAAAAGCAAAACATTGTTTACTATTAGGAAACATAGTGCACCAGGTTTACTTCATATATCCACATATAGAACAGACAATTTTGCAAAAGCAAAATGATTTTGAAATGTACTTGCAAGCTGATGTAACGTTAATGTAAAATGTAATGTGTAATGCAACCTTCCATAAAATTGGCCCCTATGACCTTCATACTTTAAGGCACTGCAAATATTATCAGTTTAACCATTGACAAGAATATTGTTGTGACTCATTGTAGTACTTTGACACAACCTGCAGTCACTACAAGGTGCAAAGTGAAAATGTTTTCATAACACAAGCAGAGAAAAAAACAACGTACAGCAGAAAGAACCAAGTGTGCTAAATATGCAAGCAAAATTAATGTCTTATGGAACATCTATAGAATAAATTAGAAGAATCTTTATCATTATTCTAATCCTAGTATTGTAAAAAATACACTTTAAATGACTACTTCTTTGAACAGATCCTAGACAAACTCAATATAACTATGATTAAAGACACATAGACATTAACTATTTCAACAAAACAGCCAAAGCACAAAAACAGATCTATACCCATCAGAGACATAAAAGGTGTGAGGTGTAAGGAAAAGCAGCATAATTAAAACACTTGCAAGAGGCTGAAAAATAACTAGCCTTAATTATAGAGACGCTTTTTGATATGCATGCTAGTTGTATCCGCTGACAGAACTACATAAACAAATTAAGACTTTACCTTCACATTTGTAACCCATAAAGTGTCATTTAAAGTGAGTCACTGAATTCTACCCATTGTCTGCATTCACATTCTCCAAAACAAAATGCAAGCATCTGTTGCAAACTCAAATTAATGTCACCTGTAGACATTTTTAAGTATATGCAACAATATAAAAGACAGTAAGGAACAAGAAAAACACATAAAATGCATTAAAAAAAAATTCACAGCTGAAAACAACTCTTCAAATATAATTTTAGATCTGAAACTTTAAAATGTTGGTCATTTTTAGTTAGCAGTTTTGCTGAAATTAGGGTTAAAATAAATCACGGTGGCAGTGATGTCATCTCGGTACATGCGTGCTAAATCGCTAGGCAGAGCCAGTATAGTTGCCAGTCTCTCCTGGTCCATCTCTGCATACTCATTTGTGCCCAGTGCATGGCGAATCAAATGTGTGGCACCGTTCAAATCCAAAGCGGGTGTTGCTCTGGCCCGTCGCTGCAGCAGCAGCTGGTGCATTTGTCCCAAGTTGAGCTGGCTGGCTGAAACCGGAGCTTGCAGATGAATACCAGTCAAATGTTCCGCCACAAGCCTGACCGCCTCATCACTGGTCATCTCGTCCCAGAGGCCATCAGAGGCCAAAACCAAAAACCGGTCCTGTGGTCGAAGCCGGTGGTAGGTGACTTCTGGTGTCGCCTCTAGATAAGGTGGAGTGAGATAATTAGGTGGAGCGTATTGATAAAGATTCAGTGATTCTAAATCAGAGTCTCCATTCTCTAGAACACTCTGCTGGAGCTCACGACTCCATTTGAAGCGAACGTCTCCAAATGCACGCAACGGCATCAGGACCCCGAGCAGCCTGTCGTCTACGATTACCGAATGCCGTTCACTAGCCGGGTGCTGCCGCCATATGCGCTCCACCTCGGTTACATTGGCAGCGTTGTGGTCTTGTGTGAGTGGCAAAGCACTCCAGCTCCCATCATGCTCCTGGACGCCTAAAACTGCCCGACAGTCTCCTGCATTTGCAACATGCACACCTTCTGGTCCAATGTGAGCCACACAAGCCGTACAGCCAGCGAAGGCGGCCTGGATGGCCGTGTTCCGCATCAGGTCATTTGCGAGTGGCACCTGTGCCTCAAGAGAAAGATCCGTGTCCAGTCGTTGGAATGCATAGATGAGAGCATCTGTGGGACGCATGCCGTCTCCGTGTTCTTCACTCGCCAGAAGCTCCTGCCAGTAAACACGCAAATGATTGACATAGAGGGCTGCTGATTCCCTGTAGTTGTAGTCGTTACGGTGCTTGTACCACTGCAGAATGGGCGGCACGGGTCGTAAAATCTCCATGGCAGCCTCTAGATCCTCCAGGACGGACTCTGACATCATTGATACAGCGATGTAATAAGGCAGACGCTCGCTGACCGCTTGAGCGCATGCATGTCCGCCGTGTCCATCAAACACGCCAAAAAGCATGCCACGAGTCTGGAGGCAGCTGGCACTGCTGCGTCGGTCCTCTAGTGGAGTATTGGCGGAAAGCTGGTTGCTCTCAAACCTCAGCACTGGACTGGGACCACTACGGCCATCAAACTCTGGAATACGAACGGACTGCTCATTAGCACGCAGAACTGCGTTGATCTGCAGCCGGCTCAGCTGGAAGTCTAGTTCACGTCTTGGAGCATGCAGTGTGTTTTCTCCTTCCTGTCCTGAGCTTCCATCTGATCGACTACGGGAAGAAAAGCTCCGGGCATGACAAGGGAGCGGGCAGGTTCTACACAGTTTATCAGGTAAAACATGCTGGCTGGGTGCAAAGAAACTGGTCAGATGTCTTCCACCAGTGTAAAGGAGGAGCCTTGAACACAAATAGCCAGACATTACTGCCTGGATGCAGTGATCAAATCAGTCTACAGCTCCAGCATCTGGAACAACAACGTGAAATCACAAGATTTAGTAACAGGCAGTCTTTAAACTGATCAAAAATCACAATAAATGGACATTGTGCAGATTTAAAATCTGCAGAAATAGTTGTGTTTTGCAGGCTCAAGTCAGTGATATAACCAATAAAGATTAAGACGTGTTAATATTACATATTGTTATGAACTCATAGATCACGCAAAATCTTCCAAGTATAAATCTAGCCATGTTTGCAAAGCAAAAAAATCCAAAATCAAGGCTTTCTCATATGTGTCAGGGTCAAATAAAATCTATATACATATAAACACTATTTACTTCTTGATTTTAGTCTACAACGGTCTAGCTTACCGTGCCGGTTTTCGTGATAATTGGCAAATGTAATGGCTAATTTTACAATTTAGTGATGTTTTTCCTGCAAATTTGTGTAATTGAACAAAGTCTAGAAATGTCTGTGCAACAATTCCCTACAAAGGACAGCTTTAATATGAGTAAAAGTCGAGTCAAACAGACACAAACCTGGCACTGCTGCTCGCTGAATGATCTTCTTCTGCTTTTCAGTTCCGTCGTAGCTGGTTGCAAACGTTCAGCTCGCAGCGCCCCCTTCAGTCATGTGCGTACTCAATATTCACAGCTCCGCCTTTTTTATATGATAGAAATAAAAAATCGCAATTAATTAGTAATTCATTCATTTATGTTATATTATATTATACACACACATACAAATAAATAATATGAATCAATTAATGACTAATTAATTCATTTTATTAACCAAGTCGTTTTCCAATCTCCACATCACGTGATTCAAAAAAGCGGCACTTTACGGAGCGGGATTATGAAGGTGTTCCGTTGAAATGTCGTTGGTCTTTCCTATCAATAATTCTGGCCTCATCAACAATATTTAAAGCTTAAAATTTAGGATTAGGTCGTGTATTTATTGTAAGCCAACCAAACCCTTCAGTCGTAAGGTAAATATTGTGGCGTTCAGCGAAGTTTTTGCTTATCGTTATTATTTACAGACAGTTTATGTAACGTTAACGTTACCAAATTCTAACAACATTTATCTTTTTTTGCAGGATATAGTGACACTTTGAGCGTGTAACTTAGGTGAAAAGGATGGTTTATTGAGTACGAAGAATGGAAGGTCAGCATCAAATCATAATATATATGTTAACGTTAGTTTATTTTTGTTAACAATATGAAAACTTTAATTAATAACATTAACAAATATTATTACATAACATTATTATTATGCAACTTTAAAATATCTTGATACTTTAAAACTGAACTGTGAACAATTATGCAATGTTTTTAATGACTATCACGACATAGTTCTAGTAAAATCCATTACTTTCTCTGGTTTGTGTTCTGTTAAAATCATAGACTGTATGGTTAAAATGTACCTTGTCTTAAGTGGAAACATAACATTTATTAATATTATATTGTGTTTTATTGCACAAAACCCATCTGTTGTACAGACCCAAGTACATATTTTGCTTTCCAAGCTAAAAGTCTTCACAGTCTTCATGTTTTCAGCTACCAAGACAGATTTGCGTCTGTTACTGGAATGTCTGAAATACCAGATGAAATGGCCTGGATCACAGAAACAAGCTCTTCTCACTATCATCTCGATCTGCAGACAAAACGGTCTGATTTACAGCTCAGAACATACTCATATGACACTGCCTCATACAAACCTAAAAATGTTATATTAAATATTTCTTTGTGTATTAGGTCAGTATGTGGAGTTCTTTAGAGAGATTGGAGGAATTTCCTTCATATATAACCTGTCAAAGTCCAGCACTTTCTCTCAGGTTAAAGAGACTGCTCTATTTACACTTGCATCCTTGGCTGAATTACATGGTGTGTATGCAGTTATCATCATACATACATGTGGATCTGTGTGTGGTTTTATAATTGCATTGTTAAACAGTTAATAATTGACATATAACATTTGACTATGAACTTGCAGAGAGCTGTAAACAGTCACTGTGCAGAGAGGAGACGTTTCGTGACTTAGCGCAGCATCTGGAAAAGAAAATGCCTCTGACGGAAAAAAGAGTAGCAGTGTACATGCTGTCTGTATTGGTTGCCAACAACAGTAATATTCACCATAAAACTTACATCCAGTGAGACCATTCCTGTGCTGATACTGTGGTTTTGTAGCGTGGGGAGAGAACAGGTTGGCAATTCACAAATGGTTTGTGTTGTGTGTGTGTGTGTGTGTGTTTTGTTTTCCAGGATGTGGACAGACTCTTGCTAAGACCTCCAGGTGTATCGAAACCTTGCTCAATTTGTTCAGGTACACACATTAAGTTCAGTTTGTTCAGGTATGCATAGTCATCTGCCTGTATTTTTATACTTTATTCATTTAGATTTAAATTTGTGATGTCACATGACCTCCTTAAAGGTATTCATTGAATACATCTACATCATGTTAAAACACAGTATACAGCCTTACAGCAGCAGATTAACAGTCCCAATGAACTCCTATAGACAGAGCAGGGTAGATGACATATTGAATTTTTATGTGGATGAAAACAAGGCTGTAAGTGATAGTCTATAGTTTTTAGGTAATTGATCACTTGCTTAAAGGGCTCATATGATGCGATTTAAATTTTTTGCTTTCTCTTTGGAGTGTTACAAGCTCTTGGTGCATAAAGAAGATCTGTAAAGTTGCAAAGACTAACGTCACAAATCCAAAGAGATATTCTTTATAAAAGTTAAGAGTCAACCACACCTACCTAAAACGGCTCGTTCTAACACGCCCCCACATATCTACGTCACGATGTGGGAAGATTTGCATAATGCCGCCGAAATGTTCACGCAAAGAAAGAAGGCGTAACTTTTGTTCTCGCTGTAGTATTGTTGTTGCCGCCGCCGCCATGTCGTGAAGGCGCTGTGTTTCGTTGTGAAAGCGAAACTACTTTGTTTGGCCTTCCAAAAGAGGACGATATCCGCTTCGTCATGCCTGGAGCTGAGCCGTGCTGGACGCAGAGGAAATACATCAACTTCGCGCTGTGGATCACCAAATCGGCTCGGGTCGTCACATATGGTTGCCGCAAGCCCGCCGGCCTAGAAATGAGTGACTAGAAATGAGTGGTTAAGTTGAATTTACAACACTTTTCCAGAACACTTCAACCCAAATATTCAGATGTGTGCAGCACATTTTATGGAGGACTGTTTCCTGATCCTGGTAGAGTAGACTACAATGCCGGCTGTTCTGACTCACAGACTGTAAGTACGTTTTTTTTTATATTTAAAGAATTTGCCACTGACGATTCAAACGCGAGTTTTTTGGGCAGTGTAGAGTAGCACTTGTTGTTTGTCATTTCTCTGATCACAAATGCAGACATGGTTTTATGTTTACGCGGCGCGATGCAACGCAACGCGTAAAAAGACAGTATTAGTCATTATAATCCGTAATTATGTCCCCACTGGATGCAACAAATGCCTCATTTATAATGGGTTTGAATGTTTTTGTCTCGTCGCTCTGGCCGGACAGGGCATCACAATATGGTAAGGGGTGTAACATTTCCATCACATGCTTGAGGTATTCGGCCAATCACAACACACTGGATAGCTGGCCAATCAGAGCACACCTCGCTTTTCAGACCGATGAGCTTTGTAAAAATCGACGGGTTTCAGAAAGGCGGGGCATAGAGGAGAAACAATAATGTACAGTATGTGGAAAATAATGTGTTTTTTTAACCTTAAGCCGCATAAACACATTTCATTACACCAAATACACAAAATAATGTTTTTTTAGCAACATCATATGACCCCTTTAAGGGGATTGGTAAGCCAAAAATGGAAGATGTTGTCATTATTTATTCTGTATGACTTTTTTCTTCTATGTGATATTTCTTAAGAATGTTTAAACTGTTTTTGTCCATATAATGAAAACTTTTTGGACTCCCAATATTGGACCCCATTGACTTTCACTGTATGGCCAAAAAACTAAATTTTTTATAATATTTTCTCTTGTGTTCCACAGAAAATAGAAAGTCATACAGGTTTGGAACGACACACTGAAAAACAATTTTCACTCAAAAAAATGCTAGTCAAATTTCACAAACAATTACAAAGAAACGGCAAGAAACACATTTAATTAAACATGAGATTTTGAAGTAGAAAAACTGAAATAGAAATTTCTTGTAAAACATACCACAGTCAATGTCCTGGATAAATTGAAAACATTCCCAAACAAAATATAATATGCTTCCGTACTTGGAGCGGAGGGGTAACATTTCAGACACTGTCTGGTGTTTTGTCGACGTGAATCACAGTAATCCAGATAAACATCTGGAAACTTGCTTAAACACTTCCCTGCTGCTCAACAGAACCAGATTTCAATTCATGTTCTTTCTTATGCCACTTTTCAGGCATAGTTTTCCAGATCCTAACACATCTTATGAGCAGTTGCAGTTGTGGGCCACTGTATCTAGTGCTCTCTGTGGCTCTGTCAACAACCCTCAAAATGGTATGGTTTTGTTCTCCATCCCTTCTCTACCCCTTTACCATCATTAAAGGGATAGTTCACCCAAAAATGTAAGTTCTGTCATTAATTACTCACCCTCATGCCGTTCCAAACCTGTAAGACCTTCGTTCATCTTCGGAACACAAATTAAGATATTTTTGATGAAATCCGAGACCTCTCTGACCCTCCATAGACAGCAAAGGAACTACCACGTTCAAGGTGCCGCCATTCACGCGAGTACCACGACGCATGCGTGTGATGCTGCTGATGTAGGAGCCGGCGTTTTTATGTAGAACACGCATGTGCTGAGCCTTGTTTACAAGCAGAGGAATGCACACGCATGCGTCGTGGTACTGTCGTAAATGGTGGCGGAGAGTGACCGGAAGAAAAGGAATTATTTATAATTATTAAGTCATTATTTTTGTTTTCTTTGCGCACAGTAAGTATTCTCGTAGCTTCATAAAATTAAGGTTGAACCACTGATGTCACATGGACTATTTTAACGATGTCCTTACTACCTTTCTGGTCCTTGAACGTGGTAGTTCCCTTGCTGTCTATGGTGGGACAAAGAGCTCTCGGGTATCTTCAAAAATACCTTAATTTGTGTTCTGAAGATGAACGAAGGTCTTAAGGGTTTGGAACAACATGAGGGTGAATAATTAATGACAGAATTTTCTTTTTTGGGTGAACTATCCCTTTAAACCCTAAACGTTTGTTTAGAATAAGATTGAGAGATAAGTTTTGTATTTACACATATGCAAATAAACACTTGAACAGTCTTCCTATGTGTTTGTTTATGACAGAGGAGAATCAGAACGCATGTATGCATGTGTTTCCCCTGGTGAAGATCTGGCTGCAGGAAGTGGCATTGCCCAGGGCAGAGTTGGCACAGCCTATATGCTCATTTATTGGCATGACTGTTGCAAACAATTGTGAGCATAAACAGCATCAGCACAGAATAACATAATGCCACAGTTTGTACTCATTTTCTCATCTCATGTGAATGTGTTTTTCAGCTTGTGCTCAGCAGTATTTTGTGTCAGTGGGAGGCCTAGATTCACTCTCAGACACTCTTACCAGAGTTTTGTCTCAGTCGGCCCACAGTGCTCCTGCTTGTAAGGTGGCCACAGTAATCACTAAAACATTGTCTGCCTGCATCTCCAACAATGGTAAGACACATGCACACACACCCAAGAGAACTATACTGGGTTGTATTGGATTCTCCATTTCTTTTGTCTTTCTGTTTCAGAGCAGTTGGTGTCTTCTTTATCAAAGTTGATGGTCATTCCAGGGCTATTGTGTCTGTTGTCCAGCCCAAACCTTGACCCACAAGACCAGCTCGCTGTGGTGTTGACGATTGGACACCTCACAGATGCCTGTGGTGAGTTTGTGGGTAACAGATGGTAGTAAAATGACATTTGCATTTTTCTACCACATACATGTAGCACTACAAATGATAAAGTAAGCTCTAGATTCAAATTCCTGATACTTCTTTTTATCATTCTCATTGAATTTCTGCAATTTAGCCCAATACAGCTACAGACTCCATTCAAATTTTGTATTGTAGATAGTTTATATATGATTTTTAAAGAGATGTAAAATAATAATAAGTGGAAGAAAATTTAAATGAGCTTGTTTGTACTTGTATTTGAGCTCTTCTTTCTCATATAAGTATAGTTTGTTGCATCTGTTTAACCACATTTGGCTGCTTTTACACTGCAATTATAAATAACCTCACACTGTTTGTTGCCTTTCAAGCACGGGTGTTTCCTTTGGGAAATTCACGGCTTGTATATTATTGTAATTAGTTTGTCTGTTCTCTGTTTTTGCAGTAGAGCATCAATCTCAATTGTTGTCGGCAGGAGGTTTGCCTATTATGATTTCGCTGCTCACTGAGGCTAGTGATGAAGAGGTTAGAAAGGCAGCCATGTTCGTACTGCACACTTGCAAGAGAATCAGTGAGTTGCGTGTTTTAATATTTGTACGTTCACTCTATATGGTTATGTGCAAAAGAGCCTTTGGCAGGAAACAAAGATTATTACTCTGCAATAAGTAGTGACACCTTTTTCTTTAAATAAAAATGCAAATAATTGTCTTCAAGAAAAAGCATGAAAAATAAAAGACTTATTCAGGACTGTACTAGTCTAGAAAATAGACTCTGTCGCCAGTGGTGATGATGGTATGCTATTAATTTCAGGTGCACCACATCACAGCACTTAGTAACCATGCCCTTCTTTTAATGTCCTGCTTCCATTAAACTGAGACTATGGCACATGAGCTTTTGAAGTTTTTTTTCCCTCTCCACCCAGCTGAATCATTAGGTGCAGGCATGTCAACTATGAATCTGCAGGAGAGTGACATGGAGAGTCACTGGAGGTCCGCTGGAAAAATCCTCCAGAGAATACAGCTCCTAGAGAAAGAGGTTTTTCTGTTTGTGAATGTGTATTTTGATATTTCAGTTGCTGTATGTTTCACCCAGGGCTTCCATGTAAAAGTTGTATTATAACGTCGATGAGACAGAGATTTTGGTGTTTTTGAGTGCAGTTATCTGTTAAAGGGATAGGTCACTCCAAAATGAAAATTCTGTCATCATTTATTCGCCCTCAGCATTAGATTGAACTATCCCTTTAATATACTTTATTCTTTAACACTTCCAAGCGTATTCTTGTGTTATTTAGTCCATAAGTGCTAACATTTTTCAAACAAAATGTAACCAGATCTGATAGCATGTTATTGAAACCATAGACAAAATGTGATATGAAATGTGTTCAAAGAGCGATTAAATTCAAGTCAGTACTGTAGGTTTTTAAAAAATTTTAACTCAAGCATGTTTACATTTTATATGTGAACGCATACACAAACCATATGTTTATTAGCCTTATTTTGTATTTTGATTTTCAGATTGGTGTGAAACTGTGGGAAAGAGACACCAAAATCCAGCAGCGCAGCAATCAGAGGTTGGCCTCATCTGTGGAATGTAATGAGGCATGGTGGGAGGGTTCTGTGATGCGAAAGGTGACAGGTTACCATCGAGTATGTGGAGAGTTACACACAACCCCTGCAGGAACTCTAGACCGACCAATCACAAATGAAATACCATACAGCAAAGAGAACTTGGTGAGAATGACATGTAAACACATTAACAGATAGTAATGTGTAAATGTTAAGCATTCTGCATCAGTTTACAGCCGTTTCAGCAACATACATACAAACATGTTTGTTTTGTGTTTGTAAGTAGCAGTGTGTCAGCACTGAAGAGTGTTTGAGTCCTGCCCAAGTCACTCTCTTCAAAGGCCCTAGCTGGGAAAAGGGCAACAAGAGAGAGCATGAACTAATGAGAGAGAATGAGAGGAATATTGAGAGGAGTGGCAACCAGGAGACAAGCACACAGGGAGGTGTGAAAAAGAGAGACATGGAGAGGAAATTACAGTCTGAAAGAGTGGCAAAGAGATTAAAGATGATGTATCTAGACTCAGATGATGATGGCAAGAAACGTTTACAGCACTGCCGCACACCAACAGAGGGCGGCAGAGATACACAGGGGTAAACATCATAAATTAATGTGTTTTGCTTTTACAGTTTTGCTAGATAAAGACACTGTTTAAATACATGTAATTTGATGAATAGAGTTCAAATCAATGTATTTTAAAAATGTATCATACACTTGTGGCCAGAAAAATTAAACAAATAGATTTTTTTGTTGAAAAATGTGATAGTATGAGTTAGTATGATTTATTCTTGCTTTTCTCATTCCTAGTTGTTTTATTCAATATTAGGATGTTCACACTAAATCCAGATACACATAATCCATTTAATGTCTTTTCATTTCTCTCTCCGTTTTATTTTTCTTGGGTTTCAGCCCAGATATTTTCAGACATCCTGATCCCATGAAGAGAAACCAGTTTACACACACTCGCTCTGATGGTAAATCTTACTAAAACATCACGCTTGGTTTGTGCTAAGTCACAGCAAAACCTTTGATTTCTCTTCACCTACAGATTTATATTTGGAATTAAGTTCTTTGCTGTTCATTTGAAGTTTTAGTTCATGAATTTGTGCTGCTGTTTTCAGATGAGATGTCTCTGTGCTCTGAGCTGTTAGACAGAGAAGTGAACAGGTTTCTGAAGCCGCCCTCTGCCTCTAAACCCAACAGTCTACGCTGTGCAGGTGTGTGTCTGTATGAATGCACACAAACAAACAACACATTATATGATACAAGCAATACTTACTGCCACTTTCTGGTTTTTCAGTGCTCTCATTGTTATTTTTGTCTTGCATGTTCCTTTTCTCCACGCTGTCTTGTGCACACATGCACCTTTTCCATTTCTCAGGTTGTGTGAAAAATATAAATGAGATGGACAGTCGTTCATTTGGTGCTGTGTTGCGTAGCTGCAGTTTTCAGTGTGACTTTCACCTGGTGCTGCGAGAGGCTGAGGATCGATTTAGGAGAAACCAGCAGTTAAAGAGGACAAGACACACTCTAACACACAGTCACATCCACACACATGACAAAAACAGAAAGAGCACTAGTGAGGAAACAGAGATGAGCCAGAGGGAAAAACACAGGCTGAGTCACCAACCATCAGACAGATGTAAGAGACGGTGTCCACATGGTCTTTCACAATGTCTTTGGGATTGTTGTTTAGAAAGTAGCTTTGATAGAACAAGGCCTGGAGAACCAAACACACCCTCATGATTTACATTTATTCATTTAGCAGATGCTTTCATCCAAAGCAGCGATGTATGTTGAGAATTTATAATTGCATACAAAGTCTGATGATCCGTTTATATTCTATTTTTTACAAACTGTATTCAGATAGATGATTGAAATTCAAACAGCATGAGACAAATGGTGTGTGGAATCGAGGTGCAATTTTATGTTGTATTATGTCCCAGTTACTGCATAGAAGTATCCAATTTGGGATGCAGCCTCTTTTTTCTTTAACAACTGGATATCTTCACATGCTATGGCATTTTTAGTGCATTTGGTGTTTCTTTTCTTCTCTAATTCTTAGTGTTTTTTTCTTCAGATATTAGGCTCACACCCCTGAGAAGACCGAGAGAAATATACAGTAAGAGAAGGGTTCTTTCCCTTGCAGTACAAAAGAGAACTGTAGCTCTTAGACGTATAATAGTTTAGAGGTTTGGGGAGAGGTAACATTCATAATGTCTGTGCCACTATAAACATCTGCCCCATACATTTGATAAACGGTGCATATGCGTGCAAAGAGCCAGATTATATTATTGAATAAGTAGTTATGTAACGCAAGACTCATCTGTGCTTTCAACTTTTGTCTAAGTTGCTGAAATGTCTTTCCATCTTTGCTCTCAGTTTTTTTACTTTTGTCCTCCTTTTCCCCCTCAGTCTCATTCATTCCACTCCCTCTATTGCCGAGTTGTGGTCTCTTGAGTGCTGTTCAGTTGTTCCGACGTGGCTTCTTTCCTGTAACCTCAAGACTTACTGAACTTTCTAGAAACGTTCGCACTATAATTGTCAAGTAAATGGTCATGTAATGTCATCCAGTCATTAACCATAATCAAACCTGGAAAGGGTGATCAGGAACCCAACCATTAGTTTTTTACTTTACATTTTTACTAGTCATAAGATGGCACTAATAAGCAATTCTAATTGGTGCTGATGTAAAAGTAGCAATTTATAGTTTAGTAGCCATTTTGCAAAAATGTTAATAATAATAATTCCTTACATTTATATAGCGCTTTTCTGGGCACTCAAAGCGCTTTACATAGAAGGGGGGAATCTCCTCATCCACCACCAGTGTGCAGCATCCACCTGGTGATGCGACGGCAGCCATAGTGCGCCATAACGCCCACCACACACCAGCTTAATGGTGGAGAGGAGACAGAGTGATGAAGCCAATCAGCAGATATGGGGATGGTTAGGAGGCCATGATGGTCAAAGGCCAATGGGCGAATTTGTCCAGGATGCCGGGGTTACACCCCTACACTTTTTCGAAGGACATCCTGGGATTTTTAATGACCACAGAGAGTCAGGACCTAGGTTTAACGTCTCATCCGAAAGACGGTGCTTTTTGTCAGTATAGTGTCCCCGTCACTACACTGGGGCGTTAGCACCCACACAGACCACAGGGTGAACACCCCCTGCTGGTCTCACTAACACCTCTTCCAGCAGCAACCTAGTTTTCCCAGGAGATCTCCCATCCAGGTACTGACCAGGCTCAACCCTGTTTAGCTTCAGTGGGCAACTAGTCTTGGGCTGCAGGGTGATATGGCTGCTGTATAATAAATATGTTACCACTCAGTGCTGCAACAGATTAAAAAGGAACAAGAATTCTTGAAAGGCATGTGACTACAGTTGACTAGAATAACTCTACGATGATCTTAATGGATGATTAAATTTTTTTTTAATTATATGATTTGGTTTTAATTGTTTCAGTTTTAACTGTAAAATACAATAATATTGTATTATTTTAATACTCTTAATGCCTGGATGAAACAAGTAAATGAAAAAGATTGGTGTGTGTTCGTATCCATGCATGCACACACAAAGGGTTTTGTTCCTCTCGAGTTGGTGGAACAGTGTGACTACAATAATAAGGCCCTTCATGCTGAGAGGAATGTCTTGGTAAAGAACAGTGTGTATTTGTTCTGTAGGATACTAGTACTGTGAGTACTGTTCCACAGACTGCCCACTAAATCATTCTAAAGATCAATATACCTCCCTGCTGCCTGTGCAAGTCAAGTCTGTATTGCTGTTAACAGCACAGACACATTTTGTATGGTTTGGTTATTTAATTCCACTTCCTGCCTCTCTTATTCATTCTTTTCTTTTTCTCTCTGGCCCAGGCATAAAAAAGAACACGGTTCACAGCCGCCTCAAGAAAACCTCAGAAGACTGTCTCCCAAAAAATGTATGGTACTCTTAGTATTAGGTGAATTATACCATGATTTCACACTTACATTGAACCTAGAACACCCTATTTTAGCGTTTTTTTATTGTGCAGACAGTCATGCAATGTCCTTTTTGTCATAATATTCTGAGCATATTCAAAGAAAATGCAAATGTAAAATTCATTAACTTGCTCTTCCTCTGAAACAATTCACATTGACTATAAATATCTTAACTTATTACGAACCGTTTATATTTGTGCACCCATATGCATAATGTATATCATCTTTAGCCCATATAAATGTGTGAATTTGTGAAGGTTTTCTGCTTTAGTCTTCAGGCAGACACAGAGAGAGGCGGAACTTTTCTGCTGACGAGTTGCTGTACCTCAACATGGGTGTGAAGAGGTTTGGTCACTCCTGGAACTCCATCCTCTGGACGTATCCCTTCCAGCCTGGACGCACCAATGTAGACCTGGCCAAGAAGTACCAACACATGCAGGCTTGACACGACCAATGGTGATGAAGATCAGCTTTCTGAATACTGTAACTTGTGTGTAAATCTAACAAAGGCTGCCAAGAACGTTCACTTAATATTTAACATCAAAATCACTAGGGATGCACAATATATCGGCCACCATATCGGTATCGGCCAAAATTTTCATATCGGTGCATCCCTAAAAATCACTCTATGCTTCCACCAGGATTTACATTACAGTGGTGAGAAATTGGGGGAGTGCTAAATTTCACAATTTAATAATAGAATTAATATAGAAAACCAGTCATTTTAAATTGTAAGAATATTTCATAATATTATTGTTTTTATTGCATTTCTGATCAAATAAATGCAGTCTTAGTAAGTGTAAGAGACTTCTTACAAAAACATTAAAAAATCTTACTGACCCCAAACTTTTGAATAGTAGTATACTGTATTTGTTTGGGGTAAAATATGACATTTTTTATGAGATGCACCCATGTTCTGACTGAAAGTGAATAGTAATGATTGATTAAACCGATATTAGACACCCACCCAGTGAAAGAATGATCTCACTAAGAGGAAATGCTAAAGAAACTGGCCTCTTTGGTATGTGGCTGTCACACTGTTACATAACAGTGTTCTTCTGGTTGTCTTTCTCAGTTCAAAATAGCAACATGACAAACACGATATGGCTCAATGAGATCTAGAGGCCATCAGATGTTAATTATATTGCTATGCAAGTACCTTCACGGTATCTATTTTGCTTCCTGTTTCATTTCCCCACTACTGCCCTTTCAGAATCCTGATTCTGTTTTCTCTCTTTTACTGACAGAAAGCCAAAGCACAGGATCTGTCTGGTGCAGGAGACGAATAAAACATCACCAGCTGAACTCATTTTCAGCCATCACTATTTGTTGTTTTATTTAAATAGAGTTATGTTGTATATTTTTGTTATTGGATTGTATAATTTTACCCTTATTTTGCTATGTAACAAGGTGATATGTTAGAAAATAACATTGTTTCCACTAAAGAGAAATTAAAAAAAGATTTAGTTTGAAGG